TAGTTAGCAGTAAAAATCATAACAAAAACATTTTTTTTTTGATATAAGCGGATTGCATGCAGCTGTCCCAATAATGCGAAAGCGCAAATCGACAAAATTGACATTGCATGTGGACGGAAACTTTTCGGCAGCAAAATGGTTTTCAAGTTTTACTATAAAAAAACTATCTGAGCGCAAAAATAATTGAAATATTTTTAACATCATTGTTTGAAACTGTTTTTAACTACAAAATAACTGATTACTTAAAATTTGTATATGCAGGATGCAGGAGTAGATTTAAGAGGTATGAAGGGTACTCGTTTTTTTGGTCAAAATTTTCCAAAAAGTGCCCAAAAACGGCTTTTTTTTTATAAATTTGCCGTGCTTGGGCTCAAATAGTGCGTTTGATTGTCTTTGGAAAGATTAAATTTTGCAGATCTTTCAAAAATCCCCCTTTCTGCGAGAAAATTGGCTAAGTGTCAGATAAAAAAATCATCTATCTTCGGATGTGTTGAGCAGCAATTATCACTTTCAAAAATTTCATGCTCATTGAAAAAATCGCTATCGTATCATGTTGAATAAATGGCATCCTTTTAATGGCGAAGGGGTCAATTTCATGGAAGAAAGAGTGGCTTTGAAATTTATTACCCCTTTAAAAACAGATTCCGCTTTGATGATTTGCTTTGATTTCTACTGTGTTTTTCAGCATGAGTTGTAAACTTCAGCTTCGTTTTTACAGTGCTTTGACTTTTTTGGTCGAAAACAGTTCATACAAATGGATGTCAAAACAGTCTGCTTTTGAAAAACTGAAGAATATCAAGAATCTATCCCCCTCGCTCGGTATTGCAATTGAAGGAAGTTTTTTTAATGGCTCATTAACCATATGCATGACTTATTACTTTATAAAAAACAATTCAGACAAGTACATTTCATGCAAGATGCAAGTTTTTAAGCAAGTACATTCCATTTCGCAAGTACATTCCAGTTATTACCATTCAGTGTTTTGGGTCGCATGAAAGTTTATTAGAATGCGCAGGGGTGGATCTAGGAATTGGAGGTGGGGAGGGTAAAAGGGGGCGGATTTTTAAAAATTTTCGAAACTTTTGTCGACTTTTTTTTGGATCGACCAAATTGATTTTCCAAGCTCTCCCAAAGCACTAAAAAGACCCTGTTTTGGCCAAAAATTCTGCGGCGCAGGCAACATTTTGAAACGGCAGGCCAAAAAAGCGTTTTTAGGCACTTTTTGGAAAACTTTGACCAAAAAACTGCTTTTTTTTCGGCGCGCGCTACCCCTCAAAGTTAGTATATATTGGCACCAAAGGCGATTTTAGAAAATTTTTATGACCCCTTGCTGAAAGTAGATATCTCAAAATGGATATCTCAAGAAGGGCGTCCGCTTTTTTATTTTTTTTTCAAAGCCAATTTAGTAAAATTTAATATCAAACATAAAACTGTGGCATTTTTGACAACTGTTGAGAATGAATTGTGTGATAGTAGTGACTTACTTTAAACAAGAAATAAAAAAAGTTCGGGCAGTCAGAATTAATTAAAAAGAGCAAATCGCTACTTTTTTTCATTTTTGGTCAATGCTCGAAAATGAAATGGAAGTTTCTACTCTACCCAACGCTTCCATATCAGTGCTAATTTTTTTAAAAAACGTTTCAAAATGTGACAAATTAATTGGAAAAAAAGAAAAAAATTTCCCACCATAGGCTAACTTAAACTGCAAAGGAATGTATTTCACCACATCGGCACCCAAAGAGTCCCCATTTGGTACTATTTTTTGACCTCCAGTTTTCTTTGACTGACCCTAAAAATGTTCTAAGGGCGCCTTTGGAGCCAATATGTATTAATTTTTAGGAGAGAACGCACCACAAAAAAAAGTCATTTTAGATCGAAGCTTTATAAAATGGGCCTATAAACTTACTTTTATCTTATGAAAAATTCGGCGGTGCAGAAAACTTGGTCAAAATAAAGTTTTCATTGTGATTTGGAATTGCCCGGAAAACCAATTTGGTCGGTCTAAAAAAAGTTGACAAAAGTTTTGAATTTTTCTGATAAGGCCTCCGCCCTCAAAAAAATTCCAGATATATCTCTTACGTCTCGCATTCTGATACTTTGACAAAATGACTTGACTTATATCAATTTGGAACGCATTAATCCACCGCTAGCGTTTGATACAAAAACGCAATATACTGGACGTCAATTAACCTATATTGGCCGAATTAGCAATTTTCAAGCCCCACTAATAAAAGTAAATAATCAGAATTGATTTTTTTATAATGTACTTCAGACAAATATATCTTTCATATGGTATAAAAAATGATCGTCAAAAACACTTTGTTAAAATTTGAAAAAAAAACGGATCAAAACTGCTCGTATCAGGGTGAAGCCGTGAATGTTCCCACTGTTCTTCAACGTCTATGAAGAAGTGTTCACTTTCACAAAAAAAGTTGAAAAAATGAAACATATACATATTTCTTTTTGAAAATCATCCCCTTTTGAATGGCAGAGTGACTTGTTTTGTACACAGCAAAGAATTAACTAAACCACATTGCATGCCTTATTTCAATTTGGAAAGATTTCTAAAGGAACAAGACTGCTGGTTTATCAAGGCGAAGCCCTAAATGTTCCGACTGCCTTTTAATTGTATCGAATTGTTATTGGTGCAACGAGTATATTTTAAAAACTAGATATTTTTTGAACCTTAATGAGCGCAATTTTATGCAACCAATTAGCTTGCCTCAAACTATTTTGAAACAGTTTTGTTCCGCGGGACAATTAGCCACGCATAAATAAAATGCAATAGAAATTCGGCATCATATTTCAATTTTTAACGTAGATAAATTAGTTCAGACCCCCAGAACATTTCAAATCATGATGGGAGGCAAAATATCTTCGTTGGTGTGTAATTTGTTGTTAAAAACTATTATTTTGATCGACGAAAAATGACTGAATACAAAAAACACCGGAAGCATAAACATTTTGCACTTTCTTCGAAAGTTGGAACAACAAGAAAAAGTTTTGAACTTCAATAATTAAAGGCCTACCTGAACCTGCTCTTACTTGATTTATATTCTTTTCTGAGTTTTCGTTGTGAATAATTGTTTTTTTTTTCAAACTATTTACGCCTGAAGCGTGAATATTACTTATCTACGCGTTCTAAGCAAGAAACAATTCACGCATTAATTGTCTCAAGTTGGCTAACTGGGCAATACTTAAACCCCAAAAACTTTACAAAACTGAAAAAATGATCTCAGGTGGAATATCTCTTCAAATCTGAGCTCAGAACAACAATAATTTTTCAATGATATAAAAAAGTTCCTTCAAAAAAGGCTAGCTAAAAATTGAATGTTGTCTGGCTGAAAAAAACCACCCGAGCACAACTATTCAGTCACTTTTTTCGAAAGTCGGAAAAGAAAAAGACCACTCCAAACATATATATTTTGTACTTTCTTCGGAAATTGGAACAATAAGCTTAAGATAAAAGAAACGGGGGATGTTGTTTGATCCAATAAATTTGTAACCACGCAACTACGCTATAATCGCTTTTAGGTTCATCGACTTGCGTTTTTTGTGAGCTTACTTCTAAATTCAGTGTAAATAATCATAGCTTATTTTAAGTTGATCACTAACTGAGTTCTGTTTAAAGTCCACGAATGAAAAATCAAAAAACAAGAAAAGTTGGATAGATTCATACAGATCTATCTATCTCTGGCTTAAAAACCCGTGCTGACCAAAATTTGGCAAACATACTAACTCCATATATGGAAAAACTCTAGTCATACATGTCCATGCAATAGAAGTGGGTAAGTTATTCAAGTATTTTGACCAGACATCCCAATTAAAAAGCAAAACTCTTTTGCCCTATGTGCGAATTTTCTTACAAGTATAAAATTTGTTCACATTAGCTGATTATCATGAAAAATGACTTTTCTTTCTATTGCTCCAATGCCAATTATTAAAAATATGAATTAAAAATGTATCACCAGCATTTGTCCCCGATCAAAGAGCTACTAGTGTTATATATATTTTTTCAGTACTGTTCCAGGAAAAACCCAGTGAAACAAGAAAAAACAGTACTGTTACAGTACTGTTGTTTGTATGCCACTGTTTTTGTCCTGGAACAGTACCGTAATTTTTTTTTAATTGTGTCGTTACAATCGAAGAAAAAAATGAAACAGACCCTAATTCAGCCCCACAGCTAAAATCAGCTGAAAACCGCCTAAAAACGCAGTTTTTTTTGCAAAATAAATTAGAAATGACTCAACCTTTGATAACAGAAGCCTGGAGCAACTAGGTTTATCTGAAAATGGTAATTTTGTTCTCAAAGTTTTAATTCGCTTCCCCACAACTAAAATCAGCTAAAACCGCCTTAAAACGCAGTTTTTTTGCAAAATAAATTAGAAATGACTTAGCCTTAATGAACAGAAGCCTAGCGCAACTCCAATGCCTACAATTTCTTTGATGGAAAAATACTAGTCGATAATGAATGATACATGGATGCAAAAAAGGAAAGATCTATGATACATTTCTGATTTCAATGCTGTCTTTGCAATTTAGAGCTGTTTTTGAGATTTTTTTTTGCTTTTTTTAGAGCTATTTTTGCAATTTTTTGTGCTGTTACAGTGCTGATTTATCTTTGTAACAGTGCTGTTACAGTGCTGATTTATCTCTGATCAGAGATAAATTGACGCTGGCGCAGTACTGTAACAGTACTGTTTTTTTTTACTGTAACAGTACTGCAACAGTACTGATTTTCTCTGCAAGATCAATCCGGGTAAATATATTGATAAAAAGCTAATTGTTATTTTGTAAATCAATCTTAAAAAGCGTTCTAAATACATCAGGTCACTTTTTTAACCATGCACCCTAGCCAGTTTTTTAAGGTCGTTAAATTTTTATGTACAACAACAAATACCTTCAAATCACAGCAATTTCTCATCAATTCAGGTTCGAATAGTTTTTAGTTTTTAAAATCAGCGTGCTTACTTATTTTTTTTTGTTTTGCTTACATCTAGATTCACAGAAGTCACCCCAATGGACATCTACATAGGAGTCTGTTTTATGTACGTGGTGGCCGCACTGGTTGAGATGGCATTTGTGGGCTACTTTGACAAACCCAGGTATGCAAAAAGGGCTTATTACCACCATTCTATCGATGCAGGGGCGGGCGGTCTGGGGACTTGTTTGATAAAATGGTCGGTCTTTTTTAGTTTTTAGGTCAGTCCAATTGATTTTCCATGCTCTCCCAAAACATGAAAAAAAGAACTTATTAAGCCACATTTTTGAGAAAATATGCCAAAGCGCTGTTTTTGACATAATTTCGTTTTTCAGCGCGCACTCTCCCCTCAAAGTTAGTATATATTCGCGCCAAACGCGCTCTTAGAAAAGTTTTAGTGTCGATCAGCCAAAATTGGATGTTCTAAAATAGTACCAAAGATAGACCCTTACAGTCGGCAGTGTGTTGAACCCTGAGAAGTTTATTTAGGGCATCCAATTTTGGCTGACCGACACTAAATTTTGGCGCTTTTGATGCCAATATATACTTATTTTGAAGGGGGAGCGCGCGACAGAAAACGCATTTTTGTTCAAAATTATTTTCCAAAAAGTGTTTAAAACTCAAGTTTGTGTGGCCCGTTATTGCAAAAATTCGCCTGCGGCGCAAAACATTTGGTCAAAATGGGGTATTTAAAGTGATTTAGAAGAGTTCAGAAACTCAATTTGATCTACCTAAATCAGCTCCTAGATCGATGTAAAAAATTTAAAGAGAGTTGGACAGAAAATTTTTGAGAAATTCCAACAACTTTCTCAATTTTTTAAAATTCTTATTTCATCGCAGGTTTGAAGTTTCTGACACTTGAAGGATGAATTCAAGAAGCCGATTTAGGGGGATGTCCCCCTTTGCTTCAATTTATGAGTTCCATTTTTGATCGACCATTTTTTTTAAAGTCAACTTTGGCGCTAATGTACATGAAATTTTAGGGGGAAGAAGGAGAACTCAGAAAACCATTTTGCTCGTCCTAAAAATTATCTCGGCTTTTTAAAGTTTCGGTTTTTAAAATCCTTTTATCCAAGAGCTTTATAGAGCGAACTTTTACCCTGTTAGTTAAGGATTGAACTTTTTATTCAGTTTTTTTTTCACTCCGAATCTTTTGATATGGTCCAGCAAACTAAATTGACAAAACTATTTATGTGAACAAGTGAACAAAGTGAACAAGTAACAAAGTGAACAAAAAAGAAGTGAATCAACATGGTGGTGTTGGTGAGGGGGAAGTGTTTTGCGAAACTTAATTATTGCTCTGGAAGCTGTGTTAACGGGTTTGAAAAACTACAGGTATGCCAGCAGGGGCTCTTCTTTGGCACAGATCAAGAATACTGCCTACTTGCCCATCGGAATCTCCATGGGTGGGGGTGTCAACCCCACCTCGCAGGTAACAATACATGCCGCCTAGGTTGAACGGAGTTTTACTAGTTATTGAATCAACTGGACCAAGTGACCAGTGTCCCTCCTTAATCAATTTCGGGAGGAGATTGTTCACTTGGTTGAAAGTAGTGTTTTTCAGCCAATCAGATATGAGCATAGTACATGCACGCCATACTGCTTGAACTTGCCATTTTATTTTAAGGGGAGTTTGGTCACTTGGGGTGCCGGACAACAAGCCGACGGGACTTCAAGCAAGCCGAATAGAAAAAATAGGGCCAGGAAGCCAAAATTTTGAATGCGAATTTAGAATTAACTTAGAAAGGTCGCGGAAACGGAAATTTCGTTCCGGTTAAAATTTTGAGAAAAAATATCGCATGTTTTATAACCATTTTCGTTGTTGCGACTTTCGTAACGAAAACAACGGAATATTTGTGCTCGGTGGTTTTTTTTCTTCAGACAAATTTCGACTTCTTAACTAACCATTTTTGACGGAATTTTTTTTTCTGTCATTCGAAAGCTCTTGTTGTCTTGAGCTTAAATTTGAAAAAATATTTCACCTGTTTTTCGCAAGATTATGGGGGGTTCAAGGATTGCCAATTTGGCCAATTTCGGATAAATAACGCGAGATATATTTCGCGCAAATAACGCGTAAGCGGAGATTTAATCTATCTTAGAAATCGTTCTAAATTGGTTAAAAGAAGCTTATTTGCCATAACTAATTTGTTACAAGGCGCGAAATGTATCCCTTTGTAATTTATATGACGTGTGGAGGTTGATTTTTCATTTTTTAATTACATTTAAAACTTTTATGTTATTACTGCTCCATAGACCTTAAAAGGCACATTCAAGGTTTCGCTCTGATACGAGCAGTCTTGTTTAGTATTTCATACTTAACTATGGACTTTTGTTTTATCGAAATAAATTACAAAAAGGGTCAAAATTTATCCATAAGCGGATTTATGTTTAGAAGAAACAAAACTAATGAAAATTTTATGTACTTCAAATGTGGAATCAATTGTCCATCGAGTGTTACAATGACAAAAGACTCAAAATTGGTCATTAAAAACTTGAACAACACAATCACCTCCCACAGACGAAAAAGATCAGCAAGAAAATTTTCGAAAAATAGTAATTCAGAGCGTTGAGCAAAATGTCAATAGACATTTAAAGAAATTGTATGACAGAGACATACAAGGGACTTCTGAAAATTGCCCCAAAATAGAAAAAAAATTAGAAAAGCATGGTCCGAAATTTTACCAGAGTCTCCAAAAAAAATAGAAGACGTGAAAATTGAAGGTGCATGGCAAAAAACGAAACAAGGTGGTGAAGAATTTGTTCTTCATCAAGAAGTTGGTCTGCGACAACGTAATTTTTACGCCAACCGAAAGTCCTATACCCGTTCACTTGATCTATTTAGGCGGGAAATTGTTCTTATGGGCCAATTAACTTATAATCTCTCGAAAGTTCAAAATGTAACTTATTTACCAATTTTCAAGGTTTTAATCTCTTAGAATGAAAAAGCGGCTTGGTAACAGTCTGGTAACGGTTCTCCCTAAATAAGAAAATCAAATCCTATATTATAATGCTGCTAATTTAGCAACGGATTCGTCTTTTTCCCCTAGCTACCCTTCAACTGTAAATTTTTCCCACTACAACTTCTGTTCGAAAAATTGGTTTGTTTTGAAAATTGGTCATTTATTAGTCGCTGACTAATTAGCCTATGACAAACAATTGGTCTTCATATTTAACCTTGTATATTTATTCGTTAAAAAAGGAACAGATCCCCACTTATTTTTTGCCATAGCTCTGCGAGGGGTCGAGAGGAAGATTGACATCTATCAGGTTGGGTTGTAAGTTTTTTTTGCTTCAAAACTTACAAGTTTTTGCCAGATTTTTTACCTCGGGGGAAAAACTACCTAGATATTTAGTTTCGCCGCTCTTATTTAAGGCACTTAGTTTTCTTCCTTTAGTTTTTTGTCTGATTTTTTAAGGCTGATTATGAGATTTCAAGTTCCTCAGCGAATGCCAGAAACAATACCCAGGCCAATCACAGCCAAATGTTTCCACGCATCAGCCAGAAACCAAATGGGGAAAACTCCACGGGCGCATCAAATGACCAATCAGAGAACAGGAAGAAACATGCTAGCTTGAGCAATTCTGAGCCCTCGTGCGAGTGTTATATCAGCGCACCTCGCATCGACATTTTCTCCAGATTCACTTTTCCGATGACATTCTTTTTATTTAATGTGGTTTACTGGATTTTATTTCTACATCAAGCGAGAAAAGCTTCCTCTCAACTTGAAGATGACGAATAATTTGTTGAGTTTAAAAAAACAATTAGTAGCTAGAAATGATGGATTTAGGATTTTCTCGAGGGGGAGCGGATTTTTTAGGATTAGTTGATCAAAATCAGATGTTGCAAAAATTACAAAAGTGAGATCCTTTGGGTGGTCATAGAGATTTTTTTACATGGAATTGGTCCTACATGAAACTATGAGCATGCTAGCACAGACTTGTCAGAAAAATTTCAAAGTATCAATAAAAAATTTCACGTTAACCAGCCAAAAATAGTTCAAAGTATCAATAAAAAATTTCACGTTAACCAGCCAAAAAATTGACTCCGGGGAATAGGTCAGGGGAGGATGTAGGGGAGAATGGAAATCTCCCCTCCTCAGGAATTTAAAACGCCCACCATAAAAAGAGCCCAATCGGTTTTACTTCAAAACAACCATTCTTCTTCGAACAACTCGAAAGCGTTGGGCGTTGAAAAATGCACTTTCTACGAAAAATATTTTCCAAAAAAAGCTCAAAAACGCCATTTTAAGCTTTTTTGTGATGTTTTGACTGCAGTGCAATACTCTTTTTTTTTTCGGCAAAGGAGTTATTTTGGTGTTTTCAAAAAGCTCAGAAAGCAACAAGTTTCAACCTGAAAAAGGTTGCTGACATTTTTGACGTTCTCTGGAAAATATCTTCTCCCGCCATATTCTCAAAAATCCGCTTCTCCCGGAATCGTTACTTGGTATAAAAGATATCCTCTTAAATTTTCCTTTATATGTAGTAAATTAATGAGCACTTCACTGAATTTTGAACGTCACATATCAATTAGTATTGTAGTTTTGATGACAAACGTAGGCCATGTATTGTATCTGCCCATAAACACTGCAGTATAATTTACCGTTTTGGAAACCCAAATTTTTAACGAAAATTCCTAGAGCAGATTTGCATCCTCCATTTTCAAAAAAAAATTCTCACATTTAAAAATTAGAAATCAATCGTCCGTGCTTTGTTTAAGAGTCGATGAATGTAGTGAAGAATCTAATATAGGTCCATCTAATACATTAATTATATAATTTAATCTGCTTCAATTAAGTCAGCATTACTTTTTGAAAAACATTGTGTCTGACCATAAGTTTGATAAAATGATCTTTTGTAACAGCTCAACACTCTTATTTAAAACAGTTTAAAAAAACTAGTAAACAGTGGTTCAGTCTCAAATTTTTTTTAAAATCGTAATTGAGCAAGGTCAAGTAATATATGACTTGTTAAACTAAAGAAAATTAAAATGACTTGAATAAACCAAATCACAACGCGATACTCTTAACTGTAAAAAATTTTCATTGACACTATATGATTATAATGATAACTGCTGTTTCTCCTCACTCAATGAAGGGACAAAAAAATCTACCAATAACTCACTCCAAGTAATTGTTAGGTTTAGAAAATTATGATGAACAGGAATTTGCTGCACTGTGTATGAAAAATGAAACAATTAAACTTATTAAAACAAAAAAGAACTGGTTTCGCCAAAAAAAGTGTAATTGAGAGCCTTTGCAGTTGTTAAAAAAAACTGTCATGACCATATGCAATCTTCATGGAGTTATTTAGTGTTAAACTATCGGAACATAGGTACCCATCTGATAAAAGTTACTTATAGTGCTTTGAGTGAAATTATCAAAGTCTGCGTCATCCGTGCTATCGATATTAGAAGTTTCATCGAGTATTGAATTCAGAGCGAATGAACAAATTCATCGAAAGCAACAGAACAGTTATTTTTGAAATTTTGTACAACCGTTATAGAAACTTCAAACGTCGGTTTTTGAAACCGAATCTCGTTTGATAATTTCATCAACGTCAAATGTTTCCTTTTTTATGAATAAATAGAAGATTCAGCTATGGTAGCCAGTTCTCGAAAATAAGAGGTTTTAATGACAGTATGGAGTGTAGTAAGCTTTTAAATAAAGTGATTTTGGTTCAAATTGGGTTTGCTTGTATACTTTTTGACAAGTGTTATCAGGTTGGTTACATATCAGTATTTAGACAACCGCGTACTCAGACTCGTCAGTATTTAGACAAATACTGTTTCAATCAATCAGAATCGAGACAAAGAAGAAATTAATAAATAATTACAGTATTTTCATAAATACTGAGAGTATGAATACGCGGCTGTCTAAATACTGGCTGCACTTTTATCGGACTCTTCAATTAAAGGTGGTAAATATTTAGGCGTGAAAGAGTAAATATTTTTCTTTACCCCTCAAATTGAGGTGTGAAAATGCGTTCCAAAGATTAGGCCTCAAATTGAGGCGTTAAATTGGTGGCGTCCCTCATGCCTGAAGGTTCTAATGCTTGAAATTAATTCTAGCTTACTTTCAGCCAATCAGAATTGAGTATTCAAAATCTCAAAGTAAATCGCAAAAACTTTAAAGTAAGAAAATAAATCCAGGCCATAAGTGTTAATATTGACCGATTAGATAATAAGCAGATGAGTTTCCAAGACTGAAAAATTCTTATGATTTTGACCTCATTAATCTTGATGATTATCTGAATAGCATTGCGGTTGTAACCCGCAATTTGTAATATTTTTGATTATTTTCCACTGATTTAAAACATTTTCTGTTAATATTGACTTCGATTTTGTGAGAAAGGCATTTAGCCAATAGAAACGCTTAGCGATTTTGATTGGTTGAAATTTTTCAAGCATTCGGTCCTTCAAGCATGAGAACCCTTCCCGTTAAGTTGAGCTTTGAAAACTACCTTTTTTTTATTTTTCGATTTGACAGGTACCCGTCAAAAAACATGCCGCATAATTGGACGCATGATAACCTTAGATAAAGCGGCAAAGGAGCTGTTAAAAAATTATACTTGGTTTTCGCAAAATATATAGTGAAATGTACCTAGAGTGGGCCCTTTTGGTAAAAAAATATTACTTAAGAATTGAGGGAGAGTGGTTATCCCCCTCCCTCCTCAGCACGCTACTGCTAGATAGTATTGACAAATCACACAGATGAATTAATGATTATCTGTTGTGAGTGTAGCTTCGATTGTTCCCGCCCACTGTTTTAACAAACAAAATAAGAGAGAAACGTAGCTACAGATGTTGGAAAAATGTGAAAAAACAAGAAAACAGAAAAAAATTGATTGGAAACTTCAAATTTTTTTAAAGAAGCAGACAATTTAGAGAGGCCGACAAGTTTAGAGAAGTTCTCAAAACAAACATTATTTTTTAAACCTTTTAAATCCATATCACTATTGAAGTGACTGATACCACACTTGACCCGTACGAGTCAACAACGGCTGGAAAAATCTACACTACAGTTCCATCCCACTTTGAACTAGTCGGAACATAAGAAACTATGCTTTTATTGTCAAAATCACTAAACTAAACGCAGTCTTAAAAATCAATTAAGAAAATGCATCAGATTTTGAAATTTTAATTTACAGTTCATATATAAGCATACAAGTTATATAACATTCGATATTAGAAGTTTCATCGAGTATTGAATTCAGAGCGAATGAACAAATTTATCGAAAGCAACAGAACAGTTATTTTTGAAATTTTGTACAACCGTTATAGAAACTTCAAACGTCGGTTTTTGAAGCCGAATCTCGTTTGATGATTTCATCAACGTCAAATATTTCCTTTTTTATGAATAAATAGAAGATTCAGCTATGGTAGCCAGTTCTCCCGCATGGTTGATCTTGATGATCGCAAATAAGAGGTTATAATGACAGTATGGAGTGTAGTAAGCTTTTAAATAGTAATTTTGGTTCAAATTGAGTTTGCTTGTATACTTTTTGACAAGTGTTATCAGACTGGTTACATATCAGTATTTAGACAACCGCGTACTCAGACTCGTCAGTATTTAGACAAATACTGTTTCAACCAATCAGAATCGAGACAAAGAAGAATATAATAAATAATTATTATTTATTTTGGAATAGTTATGTCTTTTCTCGATTCTGATTGGTTCATACAGTATTTGTCTAAATACTGACGAGTATGAATACGCGGCTGTCTAAACACTGGCTGCACTCCTATCAGACTCTTCAATTAAAGGTGGTGAATATTTAGGCGTGAAACAGTAAATATTTTACTTTACCCCTCAAATTGAGGTGTGAAAAAGCGTTCCAAAGATTAGGCCTCAAATCCGCATGATAACCTTAGATAAGGCGGCAAAGGGGCTGTTAAAAAATTATACTTGGTTTTCACAAAATATATAGTGAAAGGTACCTAGAATGGGCCCTTTTGGTAAAAAAAATAGTACTTAAGAATTGAGGGAGAGTGGTCATCCCCCACCCTCCTCAGCACGCTACTGCTAAATAGTATTGACAAATCACACAGATGAATTAATGATTATCTGTTGTGAGTGTAGCTGCGATTGTTCCCGCCCACTGTTTTAACAAACAAAATAAGAGAGAAACGTAGCTACAGATGTTGGAAAAATGTGAAAAAACAAGAAAACAGAAAAAAGTTGATTGGAAACTTCAACATTTTTTAAAGAAGCAGACATTTTAGAGAGGCCGACAAGTTTAGAGAAGTTCTCAAAACAAACATTATTTTTTAAACCTTTTAAATCCAAATCACGATTGAAGTGACTGATACCACACTTGACCCGTACGAGTCAACAACGGCTGGAAAAATCTACACTATAGTTCCCTCCCACTTTGAACTAGTCGGAACATAAGAAACTATGCTTTTATTGTCAAAATCACTAAACTAAACGCAGTCTTAAAAATCTACTAATAAAACTCATCAGATTTTGAAATTTTAATTTACAGTTCATATAATATAAGCATACAAGTTATATAACATTCGAGAAGTTTTTCTAGAAATGTTTCGACTCTGACAGTTTTATTAAGAGAACTTAGAGGCAGACTGCAATTGCTGCTGCTGATTGTTTTGTTGCAGTTGTTGTTGGATGGAGTTGAATAAGACTGCGACTCCGGCCACTGCTCGTGACGTCATCATGTGACACTTGATGTGCCATTCGCCCACTTTCGGATCGAACACTTCCACTATGTTCAAGTAGTGAACTCCATCGTGGCCTCCTAAACATGCAAACATTATAACAAAGAAATAACTTCTTTTAATTAAGTAGAAATTACTTCTTTTAAATA